GCTCAAGCCTTCCAGAACCTCCGGCCTTGGTCCCAGGCTGGGCAGCCTCCCGCAGCCCGCGTGCTCTTTGTCAATCTTTGGGTTCCAGTAAATTCTATGGCGCGAAGGTAACCGACGACTGGGAAGTATTGCGGTCCCGGAGAGACGCGTCTCAGACAATTAGTGTGGGAAGATGCCGCTGGGCCCCCGTGCAGCCTTTCCAGGTGACCGTGCAGGCGCTTCTGCGTCGGCCTCGCCCTTCCTTTATGGAACGAGGCGCCCAACTGTTCTAAATATCACCATTCAAAAACAGGTTCTGTGGCGAACCTCATTTGTGAATCTATTACAGAGATTAATAGATTATTTCTCCTTTTTCAACTAATTCTCAGTTGGGAAATTTAACCATATGGTAAGGAGAGAATTAGAATTTCATCACATTAGAGCAAAATGTAATGAAAAGAGTCCAACACCTGGGGCCAACTCGGAACGCCACAATTAAAAGGTTTTTAATGAAACCGGAGAAACCAAAAACCTCAGAGGCTTCAGCAACCCTGCCACATAAGAAAGATTTATTGGAGGTGTTGGGAAATATTGTTTTTACTTATGTCGTAAGGATGCACACCAGCCGCTAAGTACCATGTGCTCCCAGACTCGCAACTGGGGAGCGAGCGGACGGCGTGTACCACTTCCCGCCCGGAGAGGAGCGCTGTTCACCGACCTGCCTCTACCAGCCCTCCCAGAGCCACCAGGCAGGTCCCGATGTCCCCCCGGGGCTTCCTAGCCCTGGCGGAGACGTTTCCGGGCAAAAAAAAATATATGCAAATACGCACAAATGCCCCACTTGGGGTGGGAGAGGATTCGACTCCCCGTGAAGTTGGTTATTCCGAAACCACGGGATTTTAAAATCTGGAGGAAACTTTGAGGAATTAGTTCCTTCCTGTTTAGGAAGTCGTGTGCTTCAGTCACCATCACACTGTAGCAGTGACTTGGAAATCGGGCAAAGACACCCCCCGCCCCTTTTAATCGAATGGGCTGCATAATCAATTTGCTCTTCATTTTTCTTTTTCTCTTTCTTCCCCAATCCTGGTTGGAAATGGGCGGGGGGTGGGGTGGAAATAAGTCAGTGTTTAAGGGGGAGACGATTGCTCTGCTCTCTTAACTAGTTGAGAATCAAGGGTGACATTTGGGCAAGTCCGCCCCCAACCCCCAAAGTCCCATCTCCAAATCCAGACCAGTGTCATCCTATGAACATGGGTGGAGTATAATTCCAGCCCGGAAGGGTAATGTAGCACAAGATGAGACAGCAGTGGCGAGGGAAGGACAGTGGGGGTGGGAGTGGGGG